CTCGGCATGCAAAACAAATCAATCATGCATTCAAGAAGTTGTAAAATGAATAAAAATACAACTTTATGAATAATAACTTCTGGTTTTATTGCATTTAGCATTTTTTATGTAGTTTCTTACACCGGTATCAAGCTTGGGTGAAAACACAACATTTTAAGCCCAATTTGGGGTTTCCCTCCGTGATATTGCTAAAAGCAGCGTCAAGTGTAATTGCTGACCATCTTCATTTCATTCCCATTCCGGGACACTTCTTTGTGTTGTTGTGTAGAGGAAGGTGATATCTACAGACATATATTTATAGACCGCCTCCGTGGTCTACTGGTAGAGCGTCCGCCCGGAGAGCGGAAGGTCCGGGGTTCCATCCCCGGCCGCGTCATACCAAAGACGTTAAAAGATGGTACTTGTTGTTACCCTGTCTGGCGCTCTGCAATAAGGGGCTAAAACAAGGACTGGTCGGCTCGGAGTCAGTATATATACTGTGTCTGAGTGGGGTATTCATGTTAAACTGCGGCATGGTATCTCAGTGAGCTAGCACTATAAATCGGCATCAGTCCGGACTAGTACAAGCAGCCACACAAACACACACACGTACATGCACGTCGCTATATAAGTGCAATAATCTTGGACGCGACGTTAAACCCCATTTCACCTCACCTTACCAGTTCATGTTGTATACTGTGCCTTTCAGCATAAATATTGGATTCCAAAATCCTCAATACATTTTGTCAATCTGTTATTCAACCATGTGTGGTACCACATTAATAGTAATTGCTTTTATCGTACACATATTATGCCTCTTGTAGTGCTTACGTAAGACCGGGTATCATGGTCCTCACCACAGATGACTTTAAACCTAGACAGCTATGCTAGCAGTGTTGCAAGAAATGTAAGAAAATATAAATTCTCTATACACGTCTGTGGCACAGTGCTTTCTGGCATATTTTTCGTTTGCATTTCTTAGAATTTGAGGCAAACAGAAAGTACATGAAGATGGCTTGTTTCGTAACCACAGCCTTTGCAAATACACATAGATCAATAACGGGTTTTCAACTCTGTGAACACGAGACATTAATTTGAAAATACACTGCATAACATTTGACCATATTCGAATGGCGATGTATTGTGTCGCATTCACACTAGCTGAAATATTTATTCGACGTCATCTCCTCTTTCGTTGGTAAGAGTTGATACAGTGAGGAGATATACCGACATATAGAAGAAAGAATTGGCTTTGTTCCAACATGGATGAGAGACAGGCTGTTAGATATGTACTTTGGTACTAACATGACTAACTGAAACAATGTGTTTTGGACACGTCACAATCATGAATGACAATGATCTGAATCAGGAAGGAAGGACTATTTTAAGGAAGTAGGATAGTTTATAAATAGGTGACATTCGCGTTCCTTTGTCCTTGTCAAACACAATTCACACGCTATGAATATCTGGTAGTTGTTCAGGAAACATGAAACAGGCTCGCTGACTTGATTGATGCATGTCATCGATCCCAACTGCTTTGATCGATGCTTATGACATCAATAACTGGATTGTCTGGTCAAGACTCGATTAAGTGCGGACCGCCGTCATAGAGCTGGAATATTGCTGAGTGCGGCGCACAACAACAAACATTGTGAAATTGTAGGACTGACTGTCCGTGGGAAAACACTGTAGGATGGTACAACTGACTGTCAGTGGGATAACACTGTAGGATGGCACAACTGACTGTCAGTGGGATAACACTAGGATGGTACAACTGACTGTCAGTGGGATAACACTAGGATGGTACAACTGACTGTCAGTGGGATAACACTAGGATGGTACAACTGACTGTCAGTGGGATAACACTGTAGGATGGCACAACTGACTGTCAGTGCGACAACACTGTAGGATGGTACAACTGACTGTCAGTGGGATAACACTGTAGGATGGTACAACTGACTGTCAGTGGGATAACACTGTAGGATGGTACAACTGACTGTCAGTGGGATAACACTGTAGGATGGTACAACTGACTGTCAGTGGGATAACACTGTAGGATGGTACAACTGACTGTCAGTGAGATAACACTAGGATGGTACAACTGACTGTCAGTGGGATAACACTGTAGGATGGTACAACTGACTGTCAGTGGGATAACACTGTAGGATGGTACAACTGACTGTCAGTGGGATAACACTGTAGGATGGCACAACTGACTGTCAGTGGGATAACACTGTAGGATGGTACAACTGACTGTCAGTGGGATAACACTGTAGGATGGTACAACTGACTGTCAGTGGGATAACACTGTAGGATGGCACAACTGACTGTCAGTGGGATAACACTGTAGGATGGTACAACTGACTGTCAGTGGGATAACACTGTAGGATGGCACAACTGACTGTCAGTGGGATAACACTGTATGGTGGTGTCACTGGTCAGTGGTATGTGTCTGGGGGCTGGTATGGCCATATGTTGGTGTAATGTGCATGGGGATGGTATTATTGCTACCTGTCCGTATGGTATACCTGTTGGACGGTAGTTTGTGCTACATGTTGTAGCACTGCAGTTTGGTACTCTTGCTAAAAGGGTTGATCCTTTGTGATGTCACGCCTCCCTGAGAGTAGGGTTATCTACAATGTTGATATTAGTAACTCCAGTTATTATGATTGATTTGTTTGATTGCTGTCTACCGCTGCGGCCATTTTCGAGCTATCTATCGCAGCGTTCTGTAAATAACCGAATCTGGGCCAGAGGAACCTGTGACTGATGTCATTTGAAGCCTCAACCAAGTCGCCAAGCCACAATTGGACCTATTCTATTCTTGGAACTATTCGTATCTAATCCGAGTCCCGGGGCGGTCGGGTAGCCTAGTGGTTGACATGTGAAGCCCATTCGTGGTGTCCCCCGCCGTGATATGGCTGGAATATTGCTAAAAGCGGAATAAAACATCACTCACTCACTCACTAATCCGGGGGGGCGGTCGGGTAGCCTAGTGGTTAAAGCGTTCGCTCGTCACGCCGAAAACCCGTCGAATCCCGACATGGGTACAATGTGTGAAGCCCATTTCTGGTGTCCCCCGCCGTGATATTGCTGGAATATTGCTAAAAGCGGCGTAAAACCCCACTCACTCACTCACTCACTCACTAATCCGGGTCTGTGTGGAAAACCTGTGGACGCTGTGGACGTTTAACCCTACGTCGACGGGTTCAGAAAGCAAACCATCAGTTAAAATTACATTTGATTGACATTTTGTTCAATGACACATTACATTTGGGAGTAATATTCCCTGGTTGTTAACAATGTGGATATTCAAATTATCATGATCACTCAAAACATATAGAGGCTAAAGAATAACAATAATAACTTGGCTGTGCAAAACCACGATTTACCGTCAGACTGTGATTGAAACATTTGTCGGCACTACAGTAGTAATATATAGTTATTTATGTATCCATAAGAAACATATACAAAATAACTTCATTCATTGGCATGCCTATTCATCACATTCACAATCTGAAGGGGCGGTCGGGTAGCCTAGTGCACGTGGTTAAAGCGTTCGCTCGTCACGCCAAAGACCCGGGTTCGATTCCCGACATTGGTACAATGTGTGAAACCCATTTCTGGTGTCCCCCGCCGTGATGTTGCTGGAATATTGCTAAAAGCGGCGTAAAACCATACTCACTCGCTCACTCACAATCTGAAGACAGCCTCCGGTGGTGAGATCCACGGGTTCAGCATATTATGCCTAAGTAGAGATGTCAAACTGCGGAACGATATCTCCATGGTCTAGCACTATAAAACAGGCATACGTCCGGACCAGAAGGCACACACATACCACACACACAGACACATATATACGTACATGTCCACATGTATGTATATATGTTACAGGGAATATGTATAATCAGGGAATATGTATAATCCCTGAAATTTTCAGGGAATATATTTAATGTCTGATTCACTCAGGGAATATACATAATCCCTACAATTTTCAGGTATTACACATATTCCCTGATTTGACATCAAGTTTTTTAGACACATTCCCTGAAATTACTTTTGAGGTTCTTACATAGTCAAATTTGATATAAAAAAGCCAAATTATTTATAAGGAGACAAATTTATTTGACATGATAACAAATACCTTTCACTTAACTTAACAATTAGTCTTCACTGTAATCAAAACAATGCTACATCAAACATAGGATAGACCTAACAAACAATAGCTCTTGTCAATGTTTTTTCGGAATTTCTCCTCTTACTCCATCTTGAAAATGTGAGGTAATTCTGTACTGTACTGGACCGCCTCCGTGGACCTGTGGTAGAGCGTCCGCCCGGAGAGCGGAAGGTCCGGGGTTCGATCCCCGGCCGCGTCATACCAAAAGACGTTAAAAGATGGTACTTGTTGTTACCCTGTCTGGCGCTCGGCATTAAGGGGCTAAAACAAGGACTGGTCGGCTCGACGCATTGTACCCATGTCGGCAATCGAACCCGGGTCTTCGGCGTGATAATGCTTAAACCGCTAGGCTACCCGACCGCCCCAAGCTATACTAGAAGAAGAAAAGGTAAAGCATAGTGTGTGTGTGTGTGTGTGTGTGTGTGTGTGTGTGTGTGTGAGCAGTTTTATACCTTGAATTTCGCATATTGTTGCAGCTGCAAACATGTTTTTTACTTCATAGTCTAACATTGATTCTTTGATGGCAGTATATATATGTATGGAAGAAAATAAATGCGAACCATTTGTAGCAACATATAGAGAAGTATGTACGTTAAGAAAAGATATGTCCAATGTGTACCACTTAATGTTTTTTGTGGGTTATGTTATTTCTTTTTGGAGTACACAATCAATAAGTTTACAGAATATAGTTCACATGCAATCTTAAATACATACAAAATGTATCCATTGAAAAACAACAACAAAGCTATACCTGTGTCAGGATGGCAAGACATCCATGTTGAACATTCTCACGTTGCTATAAAAGTGCAATAATAGTCTTTATTCCTCAATTCCCCACCTCACCTCACAATTTGAATATACCCATGAAGTTTGAAAACCCACCCTTCTCGACCAGATCAGTGTTTTGATCAGGTATATAGACGCCGATGGCATCGCGTTCTTCGAGTTTCAAAACGGCGGAGAGAAAAGAGTTTCGCTTTGGAGATGCTGTTCGTGTGAATGAGGTCTTACTCATCAGAAGCTGTTTAGGAGGCATGTTCCGTCTGGTAAGGTGCATTCTGTGTGTGAAGATGGTGTATGTGGAGCCACGTGTCACGTTAAGTGTGATGTGCGAGTACACGAGGTAGATCCCAGCGTCTCGTACCCAGATCGTTCCGTTATCGCATGCGACATTGGCACAGAAGGTCACGTGGTAGTCATCGTGGGCTGTCCATGCTGGCGGCGACCCTGGGAAAGGACAAATACGTTAGAATAGTCTTTGACAAAGTGGTTAGATTTGTCCTTGTTACAGGCGTTAAATGAATGCTCATAGTGAAGGCATTAACGTGAGTCAGCAGGATTTTAAGTTGTATTACCGATGTCAAACATAACAGATACACATGCATCTCCTTACGTTATTCAATCGCGATCAACATTGAATACATGGTCTGAAATATATATTTACAAATTCTTACTTGAATGATGGCTGCTCCTCTAAGGGCTTAACGTGCGGCAAGTGAATAAGACTACAAATAGACACGACTGGTTGAGAAGTTGGGTTTAACGCTGCTATGAACAATATTCCAGTTTTATCACGACGTGTCAGCTGAACGTGAAAGGAAAGCCCGAAGTCAAGCAGGTCTAAGACGTTTACCACTTTGGTGAAACCAGCTAGCACTGGTATGGCGCAGACAAACCTAGAAACCTATAATCTGGACGAACCGGGATTCGAACCTACGATCACAGATGTTTGGCATGTCTTAGGGACGCAATTCTACCGACGAATTGTGGCGCCTCAGATGAGCGGCAACACGTGCTCCTCTAGGCAAGCGGTATGACTGTTCCTAGTATGAGCGGGCAACACGTGCCCCTCTAGACAAGCGGTATGACTATACCTAGGATGAGCCCGCAACACGTGCCCTCTAGACAAGCGGTATGACTATACCTAGGATGAGCGGGCAACACGTGCACCTCTAGACAAGCGGTATGACTGTACCTAGGATGAGCGGGCAACACGTGCACCTCTAGACAAGCGGTATGACTGTACCTAGGATGAGCGGGCAACACGTGCCCCTCTAGACAAGCGGTATGACTGTACCTAGGATGAGCGGGCAACACGTGCCCCTCTAGACAAGCGGTATGACTGTACCTAGGATGAGCGGGCAACACGTGCCCCTTTAGACAAGCGGTATGACTGTACCTAGGGTCAGCGGGCAACACGTGCCCCTCTAGACAAGAGGTATGACTGTACCTATGATGAGCGGGCAACACGTGCCCCTCTAGACAAGCGGCATGATTGTACCTAGGATGAGCGGGCAACACGTGCCCCTCTGGACAAGCTGTATGACTGTACCTGGTATGAGCGGGCAACACGTGCCCCTCTAGTTAAACGGCATGATTGTACCTAGGATGAGCGGGCAACACGTGCCCCTCAAGACAAGCGGTATGACTGTACCAAGGATGAGCGGGCAACACGTGCCCCTCTAGACAAGCGGTATGACTGTACCTAGGATGAGCGGGCAACACGTGCCCCTCTAGACAAGCGGTATGACTGTACCTAGAATGAGCGGGCAACACGTGCCCCTCTAGACAAGCGGTATGACTGTACTTAGGATGAGCGCGCAACACGTGCCCCTCTAGACAAGCGGTATGACTGTACCTATGATGAGCGGGCAACACGTGCCCCTCAAGACAAGCGGTATGACTGTACATAGGATGAGCGCGCAACACGTGCCCCTCTAGACAAGCTGTATGACTGTACATAGGATGAGCGGGCAACACGTGCCCCCTCTAGACAAGAGGTATGACTGTACCTAGGATGAGCGGGCAACACGTGCCCCTCAAGACAAGCTATATGACTGTATCTAGGATGAGCGGGCAACACGTGCCCCTCTAGACAAGAGGTATGACTGTACCTATGATGAGCGGGCAACACGTGCCCCTCTGGACAAGCTGTATGACTGTACCTGGTATGAGCGGGCAACACGTGCCCCTCTGGACAAGCTGTATGACTGTACCTGGTATGAGCGGGCAACACGTGCCCCTCTAGTTAAACGGCATGATTGTACCTAGGATGAGCGGGCAACACGTGCCCCTCAAGACAAGCGGTATGACTGTACCAAGGATGAGCGGGCAACACGTGCCCCTCTAGACAAGCGGTATGACTGTACCTAGGATGAGCGGGCAACACGTGCCCCTCTAGACAAGCGGTATGACTGTACCTAGAATGAGCGGGCAACACGTGCCCCTCTAGACAAGCGGTATGACTGTACTTAGGATGAGCGCGCAACACGTGCCCCTCTAGACAAGCGGTATGACTGTACCTATGATGAGCGGGCAACACGTGCCCCTCAAGACAAGCGGTATGACTGTACATAGGATGAGCGCGCAACACGTGCCCCTCTAGACAAGCTGTATGACTGTACATAGGATGAGCGGGCAACACGTGCCCCCTCTAGACAAGAGGTATGACTGTACCTAGGATGAGCGGGCAACACGTGCCCCTCAAGACAAGCTATATGACTGTATCTAGGATGAGCGGGCAACACGTGCCCCTCTAGACAAACAGTATTACTGTACCTAGGATGAGCGGGCAACACGTGCCCCTCTAGACAAGAGGTATGACTGTACCTAGGATGGGCGGGCAACACGTGCCCCTCTAGACAAGAGGTATGACTGTACCTAGGATGGGCGGGCAACACGTGCCCCCTCTAGACAAGCGGTATGACTGTACCTAGGATGGGCGGGCAACACGTGCCCCCTCTAGACAAGCGGTATGACTGTACCTAGGATGGGCGGGCAACACGTGCCCCCTCTAGACAAGCGGTATGACTGTACCTAGGATGGGCGGGCAACACGTGCCCCCTCTAGACAAGCGGTATGGCTGTACCTAGGATGAGCGGGCAACACGTGCCCCTCTAGACAAGCGGTATGGCTGTACCTAGTATAAGAAGGCAACACGTGCCCCTCTAGACAAGCGGTATGACTGTACCTAGGATGAGCGGGCAACACGTGCCCCCCTAGAAAGGCGGTATGACTGTACCTTTGATTGGAACCATGACTAGATGTGCCCCTGTGGATCCTGAGTGAATGACGTCACGGTTGCCCGTCTTTATGGCATGAGGGTCCAATTGGTCCGACCCTGATAACAGAACCCATCAAAAAATATATCCAACAGTTTTCGAGTTGATAACGCAAAACATAATATTTATGGCTGATATACTTCTCAAAATATGTTAAAGAACACCAACATCCCACCACACATGACAAACTAACTATAGTCATATGACGAAGGCGGGTGTTATGTAATTTATTTTAAGAAGAATATTTACTTTCTCTATAATTTTGCGTAAATGGCATGTTAAGTCAGTTTTCCTTTTTAAAAATGCATGTTCTGATTGCAAGTGAATGGCTGGCCCAGAATCAACTGCAGCAACAATGTGTTTGTTTGTTTGTTTACTGTTTGATGCCGCACTTAGCAATATTCCAGCTATATGACGGCGGTCTGTAAATAATCGAGTCTGGACCAGACAATCCAGTGATTGACCTAATGAACATCGATCCCCGTAATTGGGATACGATGACATGCATCAACCAAATCCGCGAGCCTGACCACCCGATCCCGTTAGTCGCCTCTTACGACAAGCATAGTCGCCTTTTGCAGCAAGCATCGGTTGCTGAAGACCTATTCTAACCCGGATCTTCACGGGTCTGCAGCAACAATAGCGTGACGCCATCATACTGTGATTTAATCACGGCACAGGCACATGCTACTTATCATGGGTATTGGGCGGTGGGTAGCCCAGTAGTTAAAGCGTTCGACATCCCGGGTTCGATTCCCGGCATGGGTACAATGTGTGAAGCCCATTTCTGGTGTCCCCCGCCGTGATACTGCTTTTAAGTGCTACAAGTGGCGTAAAACCATACTCACTCACTCACTCACTTTCATGGTTATTTTATTATTTATTTTAATTATCACGAATTGATGTCAAAGATTCAATTCAGCAGAAATAACAAGAGACGGGGAATTGATTATCACACTCTCATTAGAATGTACTGGGGAAGGAATATTTAAATGTATGGTACTAAATTTATAAAGGTCGCTTAGTGTCTTGAAAACTACACAAAGACACATTGGAATATGACATGACGACTTGACATAGCTACAATTAACAGGGTTGATGTATTAATTTTACAAACCTGATGTTCGTCTGGAGAACTCGTCTACGATCATCGGAAATATAGTGTACTGCAATTCACTATTTAATATAAAACCTCAAAGCCAGACAATAACCATGCTGTATCGTCCGACGAAACAGTTTCCATTGGCAGATACCATGAGAGAGAGAGAGAGAGAGATAGAGAGAGAGAGAGAGAGAGAGAGGGATAGAGAGAGACAGAGAGAGAATGAGAGAGAGACAGACAGACAGAGACAGAGAGACAGAGAGACAGAGAGAGACAGAGAGAGCGAGAGAGAGAGATTTCAGCAAATCCTTGATTACCGTAACAGGCGACTAACGGGAATGTGGTGGTCAGACTAGCTGACTCGGTTGGTGCATGTTATCCTATCCTAATTGTATAGATCGATGCTCTTGATGTCAGTCACTGGGACAGACAAGGAATACTTTCGAGATAAGTAAGTTATTGATTTCCTCAGTTACGCTTCCTTGAAATTCTCAATTTAAACACGGAAGGAAGAACATGTATGTTTGTTACAAAAATAGCACACTTCGCTGATAAATAGAACCAGTTATATCAGACAGGATTGATTGATCGATGAATTTACTGTTGATGGAAGATTGGAAAACATGTTTTTTTACAAATTAAATAAGATGAGAGATGCTGATGACCACCCGCCTTCCGTCAAAGGGGAACATTAAATATATCAACTCGACTATTCTCCACTAACTGATATTATCAATAAACATACAACCAGCAAAGGGTGTAATAAGACGGTATAAGTTGTGTATTTATAGAATTACCTTCTTGAACATTTCTGTGACGTCTTTCTTTGACAGCATAAATGATGCGCAGAGGTTCGAATGACGTCATAGGGAGTGTCCTGAGATTCGACCAGTGGACCCAGCTGACCACAAGTAAAACACACATCAGCATTTGACCCCACATGGTCAGGCTGAACAGAAGATGCGTCCGTGTTCCTTTGGTGAGACAATCTTGGCTTCAGCGTGTGGATGCCGAAGGTGACAGATAAAACAACATTGAAGATCAGTGAGACGGCAAAGATGATATAGAGCAACGCTCTTGAACGATGTCGTCGTGAAGGTGGCGGCTCCGACGTTGTTGTGGTGTTGTGGATGCAGCTAGATTCAGACCCAGACATTCTTGTATGATATGTACGTTTATAGGTTTGAAATAAATAAAAAAATAAATATTTTTATATTTTCGAATGTCCAGTTGAGACAGTTGTTAACTTTAACCAAAATCTCCTAGGGCGAGCCTGCTAGTGTCTGATGTCGCTTATGGTGAAGCTACAGTGACTGAAACATTTGCTGACAAGTGATTGTTGGAATCACCCAGATGATCTCATCACCCGGGTTTTCCTTGACTGCTCTGTACTACAACGTGGTGGGAATCCCTCAGGGTTATTTTCTGTTCCTCGTCATGGGATTAATATAGACCGCACCGGTTTAGCGTCCTCTCTTGCTCCCTTCTCTGTCGGGGCAGTCGGGTAGCCTAGTAGTTAAAGCGTTCGCTCGTCACGCCGAAGACCAGAGTTCGATTCCCGACATGGGTACAATGTGTGAAGCCCATTTCTGGTGTCCCCTGCCCTGATATTGCTGGAATACTGCTAAAAGCGGCGTAAAACCATACTCGCTCCTTCTGTGGCGCTGCTATTCTCTGAATGTCTGCATGAGTAGTCCGGGTTAATATTCGTCCCCAGGAACCTTTGCTGGCCGTAGGAAGTGACCAGGCTCGAGTGGTAATGCCTGGTGACCTGGCTGACTTGTGTGTCATCGTACCCCGACACATTATCAATCACCGGATTGTCTAGTCCAAGATATTTACAGGCCGCTGTCATATAGCTGGAATATTGCTAATTGCAGTGTTAAACAACAAGCAAAACATACTCTGAATGTGTCTCTATTTAGGGACGCGTGTTCGAGCCAATATTTTACAATATTTGATAACAGGAACACTTCTTTTAGACGGCAGGTCAAGTTCAATAAGCAGTTGTTCCCGGCTATCTCGCTCTTTGTGACGTAGCAAACTGGACAACGCCCAAACCTGTCAAAACGACCCAAGGCCAAGATATATCAATGACAAGGTCAAGGTCCATATGCGGAAGAAAACGTATTGTTTGTGGATCACACTTTCAGTCGAAACTGAGGCGGCTAAAGAAGAGAGAGAGAGAGAGAGAGAGAGAGAGAGAGAGAGAGAGAGAGAGAGAGAGAGAGAGAGAGAGAGACTGTGCTTGTACTAGTCAGGACTACTTCCGGGTTCATTGTGACAGACCACGGAGATGCCATGCCGTATTTATTTACATCTCACATCTGTACGTTAACATTGACATTTGGCTAGTATACGTGTTATAAATCTAAAAATCATTCAGTTTATTTTGTGAGACAAAAATAATTAAACCAGATTAAAATGCTACAATGTTCTACAATTGCCTTCATTCGGCAAAGATAAAAATAGCAGTTACATCATTAAAAATTAAGCGAGTTTGAGATGGCTACTAACTTTTAGGCTTAAATGTGTCATCAAACAGTGACACGTGTTTATTCATATCCTCGTCACTTGACCTAATGTGTATTATTGTTCATAGTGTAGTTCGAATAGTAAAGGATTTCCTTGTTTCCGTATATGTTAACTAAATGCTGACTGCATTTACTGCTTCGTGACTACTCATCAAGGTGTTGACGCTTTAGGTATAGAGTGAACTTTGCCTCATATTGCAAGTTACATTTATTTAAAAACTAATCGTTATTTACTGCCTTCGTGATCTAGCGGATGGAGCGTCTGTCCTAGTAAAGAAGTCTAACGGTGGCACACCGGAACAGTATACTGAATTGTGCATCCATGTTTAACTACATCATTGTGTACACACACACACACACACACACACACACACACACACACACACACACACACACACACAAACACACACACAGCAGAGAGAAAGAATAAAAATTGTAAGTGGAGTTTGTTTCAGGGGCGACTCTTTCAAAAACAAGTATTATACATGAGGCAGTTTTTCCTAGTGCTTGAATGGCGACGGTGTTGCTCTGTTCGGTTTACGGAAAAAATACAACATACACCTACAAATATCATACACAAGAAACTATTATAACTTAAAAATGCATGATGAAATGCATTGTATATAATATTTGATCACTGCAAATCTCCCACAGGTGAGAGAGAAAAAACCCTAAAAAGAGACCGATCATCTGATATTCTAAGGGTTGGGGTGTTTGAACCTGGGATTATCTAAAAAAAAGGTTGCCACCGAAAACTCTTGAAAAAGATGTTTTTACTTCAGGTTGTTCAAAAAAAGAGAAATTATCAATCACAAATATTATATAGTTGCATGTTTTGTGTACAACAATATTTAGGTTCATAGATCAAATGATCCCTAGGTAACCTAAGCAACGTACGCACCTCTCGTTTGCCCATTGTCCATTGTCCAGTGCCCATTACCAATCTATGATAATATGAGGGTTGGCTTCCATTTGTCCATAACCATCAGCGCTAATTACTGTAAAGTGTTGGCTTCTATTGTCTTTAATCACATATCTGCGGCAATTATCTGTTGGCCCCCATTGTTGGTTTCCACCTTTTGTTATCTTACTACTTGTGTTGTCCTTACATGTACATCTATATGCTCTCTGCCTCACAGCACCCATTCACCTGGTGAAGGAGTAAGCATAGACTCCGGAACGTTGTGTTCCCCATAATGAAGGAGTTGACATCCATACATTCTCTTCCTTATGTGTATCACTTCGAAATACTTTTCAAAGACTTGGTATTTTCTTATTCTCCATGTCATGCACATTGCAGGTTTTGGTATACACTGTGTGTGTTTTTTAGCAAAGCGATTCGTTTGTAAAGGTGGACCGTTCTGCACCAACACATTAGGACTACTATCTAGATGTTATCGCATGACGGACAATATAGGAGATTTACACAGTGAGAGAAATTGGATATTTATATCGGGTCCTATCCGGTTTTGCTTATCATTGCGGATGTAAAATATAGCCTGAAATCCAAGGTAAAACGCTGAACTGTGACATGTCAGAAGGCAGGCCCGTAGCTTAAAATCAACGTCTTCTCTGTGCGTGAAGTCCAACTGAAAAGATATTGAAAAGAACTATCTCTAAGCATCAACCAGGTTCCACGGATCCGAAAGACACAGACACTCAAAAAGTAAGTACCATTTGACAGGCATACCTTATGAAATTCAGTTAATGTGGATGATTGCTAGAACGAGTAGTGGCAATGTTGCGGAATTCATCGCTTAGAGTTACGTCCCTTTGGGCGTGCCAGTAACCTGGTCCTGATTTGCATTGGTTATGTTGCTAGGTTTGTTGTCACCATACGCGTGCTTGTTGCTTTCACTGAAGTAAGTTTAAGGCCTGTATCACTTTGGGCTTTTATATTTTGCCGGCGTGCTGTGATATAGCAGGAATGATGTTTTTGTGTTATAATAGTGGTATGCTGGCAATTAACGGTAAAGAAAGGAAGTTAGTCTGTTATGGTCGTGATATTTTTAGATCAATGCAAATTTCGTAATATATTACTCAGCATTTTCGATACATTTAATTTAGATAGATCTGGCATGTTTGTCTGTTCCAAATGAACGACCGTTTTGTTCCTTAGTGTCTGGTTACATGCATTTGGAACTAGAACCAGTTAACTCACATACTGTATTTCTGTTATTACTTATATATATTTTGTTTGTTCCTAAAATATATTGAATATACCAACATAATATGATTGATACATGATTTTGTTTCAGTATCCTTAAGCTGTCATACATACATATACATATGCACACATATATACAAAACTTTCAATACTTATTTAACAGTTACTTATCAAAAGTAAAGTATTCGTAGATATAATCGTATACTCAAACAGTACAGAATCATGCATGCATCAATGCATAAAAAATTCTAGTTCATATCTTGCAATCTAAGTGTGAGTTATTTCATATTTATGTAGCTATCATGAACGTGTGGACCACCATCATTGGAATATGTGTGCTGCTTGAAACGGACGGAGGCAACACGGTCTGTTTTTTTATCTTTCATCTCGACTAAAACCGAAATTAATGACAAACGTCATATGGTCCTATTCGTGTCATATCTATGTACTTGTCCATACAGAATGTGAAGTATAGATGTAAAAATGCTTACATTTTTTACTATTCTACCATGAATTTGGAATTTACTCAATTCTGATGGGTCAATCAGAGGCTATTAAATCACAATAAACCCCCTCTGATTTAAACTGCTGGTTTGACGGCCGCATCACAGCGGAAGTTAATATTCATAGAATAGTATTATTTTCAGTCATTGTCGGCAGGCATATTTAAATAATTATATATACAATTACAGGTTACAAAATGCACAGATGCGGTTACTACAATATTCAAAGGATGTGTGGCAATACAATTCGTGCAGAAAAACACGACAGAAATCAACAAAGGGAATGTATTTACATTTTGGAGTCAACAGAGAGCTTGGAATTTTTGCGCTTTTCTATATACGACTGTGATGTCATATATTTTGCGTCACAGTGAGCGATATGACGTCATAATGGTGACGCGCGATGTGGAGCGAAAGCCTTGCAAAGCTTGCTTTGTTTTCTTTAGGGATGCCCACCTCATGTTAGCTTACCAAGTTGCCGTGCTTGAATGCTTTCAATGCCTTGTCATATGTTCGAGTGAAGTATTACGGTGTAAACAAACTGCTTGAGTATATACAGCACCATAATTTGTTCGGTGATTCCGTAATTCAGATCGTTAACCCACTCAAAACACTGAACTTAACCCGGGCCGCTTCACTCTGTATATTTGCTAACACCAAAGAGTTCGCGTTTTATTGAGTCATGGTAGAATGGAGATAAACGTACTGTTTTTTTCAATGTAGAGCTAGGTTACCTGTAGATTTAAACGCGCTAAATTTAACATTTGAAACCTCACGCTGCGCGTTCGGTTCCAAATTAAATTTAGCGGGGTTAAATCTACAGGTAACCTAGCTCTACATTGAAAAGACAGTTTGTTTATCTCCTAAGTATACCTTGAGGATCTTGAGGCTTGGCTCTCGCAAATCAAAATCAGCAGTTGTCTTGACTTTGGGAAAAAACAGCACTTTTCATGAGAATAGTGTAACTGTGATAACCACTCACATAATTTGTGGGAAAAGTAAAGTTTGTTTGTTGCCTAACGCCGCACGATGGTATAACGACCATAATATAATCGGGTGACTTAATCACTAACAGAACAAAACACATGTATTAGCGAATTTACTCAAATAACACTTTTGGATTATAAATATATGTATTGCTCCACCGTATAGTAAAGCCACTGTTCTTCTATACTGATTGTAACAAACACGCATTCTATTCCTAAAAGACGTTCTACCTTATTCTGCTTTGTCATCATCCTTAACAAACTTGGACCGCAACAGTTTGAATGTGTTTAAGACACATAATGGTGATAGTGGTAATGTTATTAATAACTTCAGGCAACTATTTCAAAACATGAAGAGGCTATTCATCAAAATAATAAAACTCTAATTTTCTATGGACGTAAATTCTCTTTGAGAGTATATCTGCCTTTGTCTTTCCCTCATTGGCTTAATCAAGAATATTTTTAATTCAGCCACAATATGAGAACAACCTGTCAGGATTCGGCAGGAAAAGGGCTCTTTTCGCAAATACAATCTGCATCATAGACTTGAGCAAAATAGTTGGAAATTGTTATGAATGTTATCAGATGTGTTCATTTGAACGACAATGATTTTGTTCAGTTCAACAATAAGCTGTTGGGACTTATGACAACACAACATGTGTATTTGATCAGGTCACAAGTTCAAAACTTCCAAATGTAAAAGAAAAGGTAGTTGTCAGCCAGTTGTATGATATTTTTACAATGGGCCAAAAGGTGTCTTTTCCTGCATCGTCTTTTATTCTTTGAATTTGATACAGATAATATGATAGTTATCTAGTGTTTCGAGCATACATTGCGGATGTAGTTATGCGCTTTTCAAACCTACTATTAATCTCTTCCTCGCTGCCGCCGATTGCCGTTAAAATTTGGCCACCACAGCACTCTCCCTTGTCATTTTAATCTATTCTTGTCACTAACAAATACTACAAACATATAACAGCAGTCTCTACTGCCACATCACACATATTTATTTACTCAACACGTGAGTGTGATATAGTCGGCGTAATAGACTTATAGCAGACATCTCTTTTGATATTGGAAAAGGTTTCTTGCTGTTACTAACTGTGGTGCCATCATTGACTGAATGGACCAGCACTTGTTTAGTCACGTCTATTATAATAGTGTACCCATTTTTAAATCCCTTTATTTCAAACATTTAGAAAACAATAAGGCACGGCGACGTGGAATGCAAATATGCTGAAGTTGGAAAACCTGGACGCGGACTGCGTCTCTTTTCGTGTAAGGAGAAATGGGATCAACATGGAGCCTGACTGCACTTACTATGGAGGGAATCCCCACAACTGCGGGAGATATAAACCAAGTTGCATGCCAGCATTGAGAAATACTACACACGACTGGCAGAAAGTGCCCTTAACAAAGGCAAACCGTGCTCACGACAGACCATTACTGAAAATATCTGCGGTATAGACTACCCTTGTGAAAGAGGGAGCTGTGAACACCAGGAGCTATAACATCAAATACAAGCAGAGCGTTTGTACTGTAATGTTGAGATGAACGTGACACAAAACTAATTACGAGTTGAGGTCTCTGTAAACAACATTGTTGAGTGACTTCAGTACTTCAGTTGCTTCAGGAATCTTAAGCTTGACGTGGGAGTACCATCTACAGAATATCAGCACTGAATGACAGTGTTATATGTTGCTACATATTCAACGGGTGAATGTTTCTACACTCAGTCATAGTGTTGAATATTGCATCATCATCACTTGGAGAGTGTTTCAGCACTCAAAGAGTGTGTTGAATGTTGCATCATCATCACTTGGAGAGTGTTTCAGCACTCAATCAGTGTCTTGAATGTTGCAGCAGCATCATTGGGAGAGTGAGTAAGTGAGTATGGTTTTACGCAATATTCCAGCAATATCACGTCGGGGGACACCAGAAATGGGCTTCACACATTGTACCCAATTCGGGAATCGAGCCCGAGTCTTCGGCGTGACGAGCGAACGCTTTAACCCGAGTGTTTCAGCACTCAATCTCAGTGTTGAATGTTGCGATAGCTTCACTGGGAGAATGGATCAGCGCTGGATCATCTAACAATAGTTATCATTGTGTATAATTATAAGAATACTACCTCTATTACATCAAAGACATATATTCCTGTTATGCTGAGAACCACACTAAGTCTGAGGGTCGTAATATTAAGTGTTGGTCTGGCTCTGAAGACTCCCATGAATTCACTTTCGGCGGTAGTACGTACATTATACATCCAGGATTATCATGAAGGTACCATATGCCACTTTATCCCTCGATCTATGATTTCAGTGACTTGTGTTTACTACGTTAGAAAGAACAACATATAAAGGTCAGCTTACCCTGAGGTATTCTGAAATCACTACCTGGGCTACCACCAAGGGCCCCAGACTGTATAGTCCATGCAGATCGGTCTGTATGTCTCGTCAGTAAAATATTGAAAACGTGTTATTAGACTTCCATTGGCTGCTAGCAACGACCTGTTCGATGATATGAGTTCCTGAATTGTTGTCCAAGGGACAGGCAGAATCGATAGAGTCTGTAGATATCTGTAGACATTCAGTGAAGTCATTTTCGGCGAGGTCCGCCTCTGGAGCTTGCTCTGTCTCTACCTCTTCCTCTTTGTGAAGTGGAATAATCTTATTTGGAGGTCTTGTTCCTTGGGCGAAAATATCTGTCCTTCCATGTAGAGGGTGGAAAAGAATCCCGACCAGAGTTGGTATGACGTAACTTGGAGTAATGATGATGATACTGGAAGTCTGGTCGCTTTGGGATCTGATATGGTTTGGTTTGTCACCCAAGAATTCTCATTATTTGATGATACATCGGACTGAATCACTCTCCCTTTTGTACAGGAGGCAGATGAATATGACTTCTTATCTGACGCTGAAGTGATCTTGTAACAGTCAGGCTCATCTTACCATGCCTTTGAAAGTTTTTATAACTTCTTCTTGGACATGGATTTACAACAACCACACCTTGATTTTTGCGTGCAAGTGTTTTTCTTGCACGATTGGCACCTAGGATGAGGGTCACCAGTACTTTGTTGTTGCCCACAACCTGAACAACCAGGAGCCTGTTTTGGGGCTGAAGGCTTCACCCCTAAGCATGTTATCTCACTAATTACTTACTAGAGACTGTTATCGTATACCCCTGTATACTGCTGTGGAACTGCTCACTGCTTGTCTCTTAGTTGAACTTGAAATGATCTTGTGACCTGTAATAGTGTGGAACACAGGAAAGAAGTGATGTTTTCCCGCCCTTCGCATGCGCAGTTGCGTTTCCTGCGAGGGATAAAGTTTCCCTCACAGCTATTAGATATGTTGGCAGTAGAGAGGACGTCTGTTGAAATTATATTTATAATTTTAGTGTGGTTCTCGGCATAAACAGGAATTCAAGGTTATGATGTAATAGAGGTAGGGTATTCACAAGAATTATGAATTATGTTTCGACATTGGGCTCGCAGGTATGGATAACTGTGATAAACGTCCCAGCGGCGTTCCTATTGTTTTTTTAGTGACGACTTGCATACTGAAGACACGGACGGTACTGGCAGTGGACAAAACAAGATTGTAATGACTTTCTCTTGTAATAATCATTCAACCAAATTACATTCTAAAAAGAGAAACAAGTTTTGCAAATTAACTTCGATATTGAATAATGAGTGAGAGTAGGATATAATGACAAAGTCTGGCAATATCACGACAGGGGAACACTATGAACAGACTTCACAAGTTTACACATAAAAGGAATCGAACCCGGACAGGGCGTGTCAAACTAACGCTTTAACTCATGGGCTGCCCTACCTCCTCTAAAACAGATAGCAGATTTGGGATGAGAATCACT